GCGGAGCTGAATGGCACTGTGCTCCAGTAAAGGCTTAAGAAGGAGTTTTTCCCGGCTCTCTTTCCCTGTGCCTTTCATCTTCACAGTGTGATGTGATGTTAATGCACCAGCCACCATATCAGTGTTTGTGGGAACAGGCAAAGAGCACACGCGCAGGGTCCTTTGAGGACATTTCCCTGGAAGCTGTCTAGCAATACTTCTCCTTCTTGGTCACTGACTAGGGCCAAGTTTCATGGCCACTGGGAACTAATAGGAAAGATGGGGAAATGTGGGCTTTGTGTCCAAACACAGTGCTTAGATTTCTAACGAAGAAACGGAGAGTAGACAGCAGAGGCGGAGACAGCCAACAGTCTGGTCACTTGTTGTTTTCTAAATAATCGGGGCCGGGACGGAACAAAGCCAAATGTCTATATTTATTTGATGATGACAGAGGCTAAAGATGCTACATTTGTAGGGGAGGTTTTGTGGAGGACTGATGTGCTTGTCTGGATTCAGTGAAAGCATGCTCACCTCAGGCACATCCTAAGCCACTTTCCCCAGGGGCGGTCGGCCAGCCAGAGCACCCCAAGCCCAGGAGCCCAGAGAACCAGTCAGAAGTGGCAGTTGCAATCGGCAGGCTTTTCTGAGCAGGTGCCAGCTTGTCATTGTCCCTACAGGAATGTCTCTGTTACTTTGTGCTGTTCAGCTCCAAGCGCCCTCACTTGGACTGCCTCTCCTCCAGTTCAGATGCCTCTGTGGGGAGCGTTCTCCCTGCTTGTCCACTCAAATCTCCCTTTGTTCAGAAAGAATCTTCCCTCTCCCTTTGTGCTTGACCTTTCCACACGACCACAAGCTCAAGAATGTGATCTTTGCACACGACGACGATGCTGTGAAATCCAGCAAGAAGTTTTCAAGGGGGCGGTTCCTGGACTTGTTTCAGGAGAGGTTTTGTTTGCTGCTGGCCCTGTTGCTCACCCTCCTCCTCACTGCTCCTCCTCTTCCTCCTTTTTTTTTTTTTTTTTTTTTTTTTTTCCCGAGACAGGGTTTCTCTGTGTAGCTTTGCGCCTTTCCTGGAACTTACTTGGTAGCCCAGGCTGGCCTCGAACTCACAGAGATCCGCCTTCGTCTACCTCCCGAGTGCTGGGATTAAAGGCTTGCGCCGCCCCCCGCCGCCGCCGCCGCCGCCGCCGCCACCATCACCACCACCACCACCACCACCACCCGGCTCCTCTTCCTCCTTTTGTGTAGGTGGGCAGGTTTTTCTCAAGTGACTTTCATCCCATCTCTAAACTTCAGAGAGCCTAGGTTAAAGGCATTAAAGTTGGGTGTGGTGCAACATGCTTATCATCCCAGCACTCAGGAGGTTGGGACTGGAGGACCGTGAGTTTGAAGTCAGCCTGAGTGCGGGGAGGGGGGGGCGCAGATCTTGTCTCAAAAGCAAACATACACACAAAGGTATTAAAAAAAAGAGAACATCAAAAAGTTCTAAACTTCCCTTGAACTAAAAGGCTGCCCTGAGATCTGGGTTTGGGATAGCAATAGTCTATTTACAAGTAGTTTAGTTTCATTATTGTGTACTAGACACAACTTACTCTTAAAGAGGAGTGTGCTTGCTTTTCTGAATTAGGTGTTAATCTCTACAGCAAGTGACAATTCAGTAAGAATAGGGGCTTAAGACATTGTTAAAAATGGCTATCCAGTTATGTAGCTTGGTCTGTTCCTAAGGCTCCTAGCAGTGAGATCAGGACCTGTTCCTGATGCTTAGCTGGCTTTTAGGAACCTGTTCCCCATGCTGGATTACCCTACCCAGCCTTTATACAGGCAGAGGAGTTCGGTCCTACCTCAACTTGATGTGCTATGCCATGTTCAAGCCCATGAGAGGCCTGCTCCTTTCTGAATGGAGATGGAGGAGAAGTGGGTGGATGAGGAGGGGGGTAGATGGGAGTCAGGGGGAGAGAACAGGAGGAGAGGAGGGAGGAGAAACTGAGGTAGGTACGTAAAATAAAGGGGAAAAATAATAAAAAATGGCTGTCTATGGAGGCTAGGCTTTAGCCAAGTTGATAGCATGTTTGTGTGGCATGCATTAAGACCCTGGGTTGATCCCCAGCACCCGATAAAACAAGCATGGTTGTGTTGTACCCGTGTGGAGAAACCCTCAGAGATCACCAAGGAGCCAGTAGATCCTAATCAGCCCCTAACTAGCCCTGGCCAATTAAAACGTACTAATATGATTGCCACTTGTGTAAGCCAATCATATCAAATGACCTAGCTGGCCCTAGGAACTCCTCTTCACTGTGCTTAAAAGAAGCCCACATGTCCCTCTCAAGGTCATCGCCATTTTGTATAGGTGAGTGACCCCGCATGCATGTGGTATAATAAACACTCTTTCTGATTGTGTTGAGATTAGTTAGTGGTCTTCTGGAGACTTCTCTAGCACCCTAGTAGCTACTTGAGATATGGGAATGGCCCAGGGCTGAGGAGTTGCATCAGGTACAAGGAGGAGAGCAAGCAGACTGGATCCACATGGCTGAATGTTCCTCTCTCCCACCACCCCCAATTCAAGTGTACTGAACATAGACTCCCTCCCTCCAAGAGAGAGGTTGATGGCTACTGGCTACAGTTCAAGGAAAGCACTATGAAGCAAACAGGAAACAATTTTTGCTTTTAGTTGCCTAACAAGAGACAAGACCTTGTCTCCCCACCCCACCCTGACCAGGGCAGGGTCTCATGGATCTCAGGGTACCCTCAAGCTCTCTAACTAGCTGACCTTGAACTCCTGATCTCCATGTCTCCTCTTAAAAGCTAGGATGATTGGTGAACACCATCATAACAAGTTTTATGTGGCCCTGGGGATCAAACAGAGCTTTTATACACGCTGCATGCTGTGCTCAGCAACTGAGCTATGTCCCCTCAGGACCGTGTCTCTCATTTGTTGGCTTATCTCAGCAGCCAGCATAGCAGTGCAGATTTGGGGCACCTGAAAAACACTAATTAAATGAAGGGTTGCTCAGGTGGAACTAGAGCTTGGTGGTTTTCATGTGCTGGTTTCTCTATGTAAGACTTTCCTAAATGCTGGGCGATGGTTAATCCCAGCAGTCAGGAAGCAGAGACAGCCAGAGCTCTCTAAATTCAAGGCCAGCCTGGTCTACAGAGCAAATTCCAGTACAACCAGGTCTACACAAAGA